ACTCGATACACAGCGGACCTCCATCAGAGCAGCCCCACGCTCCTCTGCTGCCTCTGTACGTTCAGTAGATCACAGTTATTACCTCATTAAGCGCCTTACAAACAGTCCTCTTCAAAACTCCTCAGGGTAGGGTAATCATACCACTTTATGTGAGGTGTCAGTGGGAGAACTGGGGCAATCCTGCACAATAGCGTAACAATACAACCATTTCACTGTACCGCTGTCACACTGCAGGAGTTATTTCCCATAAAACTACAGGGAACCACATTTTTTGGATATTCTGCAATAGAATGGATTATGTAGCTAGCGGGGTTGCCGTGAATGCATAAGTGAGCATGTTAAAGCTCCCTGCAGCCACTAGTGGAAATTCCAGCACCAGAATGAATTTCAGAAAAAATTAAAATAAAAACTGCTTTCAAACAGGTTTCCCAAGCATTTCCCCCATCTATAACGTTCACACAAACTAATAGCCAGTTTCAAAGTGTTTTAAAGCATTTTAACGTGCAGAGCAGAGTAAACTCTCTCAAAGAACTTCATTAATCTCATTTAAAACTCCTCTGCTACAGTCATCAAAGGTTTGCAACAAAACCACAGCCTTCAACAATACATTTCAAACAGCCTGCTGTGAGCAATATTCCTGTTATACACAGTCTGAAGGTCCCTGTTTTGTGTGATGACTATGATAATTCTGTGCAATAAAGGTAATAGCTATTTAGACTATTTATTTGATGAATATCTGTCAGTTAGACTAATGAAGAGACACTGACAACATCTAAAATCTAAATCCCTCACATATGAACAACTTTAGAGGTTTAGATATGTTAAAAAGTCTGTTCATACAACTAATGAGATCAACTCACAGTTTGATTACTTTTTGAAGTTTTATCAAGACACGGCTGGTCATTAACTTTTAAACGCATCATTATGCAAACACAGGAGAGTTCTCGGCATGAAAGACCCACGCTTGTGCTACTTCATTTCTCTCCAGTACGTTAGGAAATTAAATGATACAAAATGTGGATGATGTTAACTGTGACAAGATGATTGACAGGGCTGTTTAAAGTCGAAAGAATGCACGTAACTAAGCAATAGAGCAGTCCATTAAAGACGAAGTTATGACAAAGCAGCATGTCCCAAAGCTTGCCTATTTGCCTCTGCTACACACTCAAAAGTATGTCCTTTTTCTTCACAAAAAGAGCACATACATTTAGGGTATGATATTAAGTAGGTGAAAAGTAGCTCCCCACCCCTCTTCTGGAAAGGGGGTGGGGAGCAGCAGCTCATTTGCATTTAAAGAGAGAAAAAAGGGCATTTACAGCATTAAATAATAAATGTTCTGTGGTCCATTTTGACCTGAAGGCTCAAATAGGTCCCCTTCAAACAGAAAACAGTCATTCTAAATTGCAACAATATTTCACGATATGATTTTTACTGTATTGGTGATCAAATAAATGCAGCCTTCTTTAAAAAAAAAATACATTTTTAAAACAATTTTTTTTTTAAATACCGACCCTAAACTTTTCAATGGAAGTGTATTTTAGAGATGTTTATCAGGTAATAGAAAAAACACATCCTTAACATTAAAGGGGTCATATAATGCGATTCCACACCTGTGCAATAATCATGCTGTCTAATCAGCATCTTGATATGCCACACCTGTGAGGTTGATGGATTATCTCGGCAAAGGAGAAGTGCTCACTAACACAGATTTAGACAGAATTGTGAACAATATTTGAGAGAAATAGGCTTTTTGTGTACATAGAAAAAGTCTTAGATCTTTGAGTTCAACTCATGAAAAATGGGGGCAAAAACAAAAGTGTTGCGTTTATAATTTTGTTCAGTGTAAGAAGTATTTTCCCCAACACTGATACTGGAGGTCGTAAGGGACGTTTCAGAGGAATACTCTACCGCTACAACATTTAGATCACGGGGAAAGATACGCATAAGACCGATTACTAGATATCATATTGATGGATCTTATGAGATAAATAGCTTGATAAAGAAAGAAACAGAATGCATTAGAGAATCAGCTGGCTAAATGTGGGTCATTCCCTGCACATGCACTGAGCTTGCCCGTCCCATCCAGACCTGCCGTTTCATTGACCCAATCACACATACCCACAGCACAACATATCACTCACAAAAGGCAGGGAGGATAGGCGTGCAGGTGCCAGGCTTGTGCCAACACAAAGCTATGTGCACCGTGTAAAGCAATGGGAACGCGGACACTCTGGATGCTGACAGTGCTTACGTTCCAGAGTGGTCTCAAACCCCCCACAGTGCAGGTTTGTAACACACTGTGAACCATGAGGATCAATGGCTCTAAACTTTTCATCTGTGGCAAATGGAGATAGACAGTTACAGTCAAAGGAGGACCAGCCTTATATGCCCTTCGACTGGATCATTACTATTACTATTACCATTACCATTCTAAGACTATGTAATTCCTGATTATGCCACAAAGTTAGCATACTAAATATAAACAATTTCTGGAAAAAAAAAAGCAAATTCTTGATTCCTCGCCTCAAGTGAGGTTTCTGTGCTGTGTTAGTGTGTTAATACAGAAGGTTTAAGAAGAAAGTAAGACAGGAATAGAGAGACAAATGGAGAGGTCCCACCTTCAGATCTAAATATTCCAGGTCCTTCTTCAAGTGCATGTATGTGTCATCAGCCTGTAAGTAGCAGGGAAAATATTTCAATTGACACTCTTCTACTCTTTAATTAACACTAATCAGTTGTTTCATTTATCCACCACACACTTTAGGCTAACACTGCACTAGCATTAAAGCAATAGCTGGCTATGCTTTGGGACATACTACACATCTCACACTCATTTCTGTTGAACACTGTTCGCATTTACATGCAAGTGACAGCTTATACACACTACCGCTCAAAAGACTGGGGTTGGTAAGATTTTTCTAATGTTTTTAAAAGATGTCTCTTATGCCCATCAAGGGTTCATGTATTTGATCAAAAATATGTTAAAAACAGTAATATTGTGAAACATTGTTTGAATTTAAAATAACTTTTTCTATTTTAATATATTTGAAAATGTAAATTATTCCTGTGGTGGCAAAGCTGAATTTTCAGCATCATTACTCCAGTCTTCAGTGTCACGTGATCCTTCAGAAATAATTTTAATATGCTGATTCTGTGATTGAGTGATTATTTTTTAGAAAGCTATAACATTATAAATGTCTTTACACTCACTTTTGATCAATATGTTGCCCTGACCCTATACCTTTTGAACAGTAGTGTAAATTTACTTGAAAAGCAATGTCTTGTAAGCTAGTAATAGAATACACTTTATATTTCATAGAACATATTTTTTAAATAAGTTTACTTTTTACCCCTTTGGCAGCAAATAGTGTTTGTTTTAAGTATAAACCTAAAAATAGGTTTTAACCTTTAACCTAAGCATAATGCAAAAAAAAGTCTTAATTAATATAATATGTAATTTTGCTTCTCAAGTAAATTTATGTTTGTTTAGGGATGTTTTGTTTTTTTTACAGGAAAACAAAACAAAAGTATAGATTAAGAAAATGATTTTTCTGAGTGTGTTACATTGACATTAGGTTAGAAACAAAAGAATACTTGGTAATATTTTACAATAAGGTTTCCTTTGTTAACATTAGTCAACCACATTAGATAACATGAACTAACAATTAACAATACTTCTATAGCATTTATTAATGTTAATCTCAACATTTACTAATGATCATCACATGTTGTATCTGTGAATGCAGTGTGAACTAACATGACCATTTTTATGAACTAACATTTCCAAAGGTTAATAAATGCTGTAAAAATGTATTGCTCATTGTTAGTTCATGTTAGTTAATGCATTAAAAAATTAGATCTTATTGTAAAGTGTTACTGAATATTTGTTTAACTTTACCACAGTCCTTGATGCCAAAGCATTTAGTACAAAGCAAAGTAATTATGCTTAGAGCAATATACTTCTGCACACATATTATTACTACCAATAACAAAGCATGTTTATTATGACATTACTGCAGAAATTATCTATGCATATCCTGCAACCAGATCAAACCAGAACTTCAGATAAGGTTTCCACAGACTCCAGCATACACCTACTACTTCATGCATGCAAACAATTTTGATCTTTGCATTTCTGATGTTTGGAGCAACAGCAAAGCATACTCATGTAGTATGCATAATGACCAGTTACATATAATTCATGCCGACGGTGGGACATCTAGATACAGCCCCTAAGCATGACATGCCATGCTACAATACAAAGAAGCATCGTGTAACAAAGCCAAGGGAGCTACAGAGAGCCAGGCGGGGTAAATAACAGCAGCAGAGGCACGCTAGTAATGAGAGGTGCTAGCTGGGCAGGCCGAGCCCTGACCTTCACCCGAGACAACTGCTGGAGGTGGGCCAGCGCATTGTTGCGCACACCTGCCATCATGGCCTGGTGTCTCCGTAACTGGATGAGGAGAAGCGTGAGCTCCTCCGGCTGGACCATAGGTTGTGAGGGTACAATCAGGGCAGAGAGAGAGTTATGTGATCAGGTTATTTACACAAGTGCCCATTAGAGCCATGAAAAGAAGAGGACTGACTCCACCAGCAGAGGTTTTTTTGGGTGTCATTTTATGCCACTTTGCTGATACCTTACAGATTGCTTTAACAGCAGCACAAAAGAGACAAAGTAAACCTTATAATCCAAAACTATTTGTAATCGCTAAATATTTTTTTCCAGAAAGAAACATACCGTTTTTCCATGCAGGCTGGGTGCACTGACTGTATGTGTGATATAGCCGGATGGAGGCATTGAGCGTCTCTCTATTGTGGCTGACTGCAGAATGATCAAATAAAAAGAAAAGAAAAGAGATGAATGCATTTAAATATACTTGATCAAAAAACAGACATGAGCAATATGTGACCCTGGACCACAAAACCAGTAATAAGGGTCAATTTTTTCGAAATTGGGATCTATACATCATCTGAAAGCTGATTACATAAGCTTTCCATTGATGTATGGTTTGTTAGGACAATATTTGGCCGAGATACAACTATTTGAAAATCTGGAATCTGAGGGTGCAAAAAAATCAAAATATTGAGAAAATTGCATTTAAAGTTGTCCAAATGAAGTTCTTAGCAATGCATATTACTAATCAAAAATTAAGTTAATATATTTACAGTAGGACATTTACAAAATATCATCATGGAACATCATCTTTACTTAATATCCTAATGATTTTTGGCATAAAAGACAAATCTATAATTTTGACCCATACACTGTATTTTTGGCTATTGCTACAAATATACCCAAGCGACTTAAGACTGGTTTTGTGGTCCAGGGCCACATATGTCTTTCAGTATGTGCTCGTCAACATGTAACTATAATAATACTATCTGCATTTATTGTCTGCATTTATTTATTCAAAAAATACAGTAAAAATAGTAATATATTATTAGATTTTAAAATAACTGTTTTCTATTTTAATATATTTAAAAATTTAATTTATTCCTGTGGTGGCAAAGCTGAATTTTCAGCATCATTACTCCAGTCTGATCCTTCAGAAATCATTCCATTATGCTGATTTGGTGCTCAAAAAACTTTTTTATTATTATCGATGATGAAAAATTACTTGAATTTGGAAACCATGATACATTTTTTCATGATTCTTTGATGAATAGAAAGTTCAAAATAACAGAATTTACTTGAAATAGAAACCTTTTGTAACATTATAAATGTCTTTACTGTCATGTTTGATCAACTTAATCCATCCTTGATGAATAAAAGTATAAATATGTTTAAACAAAAAAATCTTCCTGAACCCAGACTTGTAAACGTTATTGTACATAAAAGTAAAAATGACAGAACACACCAAAATATACTTTTAATAATTTAAAACCTTTGAAATATAACATATTTGGATTTATTAATCATCATGGATTCAGTCAAGTTTTAAGTCATCATTTGGATTAGACATGTCTGCCTGCTAACTTGAGATGGTTAAAAGGTTTTTAAAGGACACACACAGGAACTTTAAGTGAAGAAAATATAATATATAAAGTATATAAAAGTATATAAAAATCATCCCACTCTAGCAATTTCTGAGTCTGGCACTCGTTCCATTACAGAGACACCACTGATAATTCATGCTGAATTACAACTCTGTTGTAGACAGATGGACTTATGCAGCCAGTTTGAAAACATTGAAGGCTGGTGTTATTTGATCAAGAGTTTCTGAGCAGTATTAACATCCATCATGTCTCTAAATGCATGCTTCTTTCAGACTCGACCACTTCTCTTTTTAAAGGAGAGTTTTCAATCTTACTGCTAGACATTTTGCTGCTTGAAAATGCTTAGAAGCTTAGGTCAGGTTCATATAATGCATAATGACATTAAAAACACTACTTTTTTTTTTTTTACATTAAATACAAATTTTATTCAACAGGATGCATTAAATTAATATTAAATATTTTTTTCCACACAAAATTAATCAACACAACTATTTTAAGCATTGATATAAATAAGAAATGTTTCTTAAGCACCAAATTGGCTTATTAGAATGATTTCTGAAGGATCATGTGACACTGAGTAACTGCTGAAAATTCGGCTTTGCCATCACATGAATAAATTATATTTTAATATGTATTAAAAAAAAATATATATATATATATATATATATTTAAATTGTAATAATTAGCAATATTACTGATCTTACTGTATGTTTGAAAATCAAATACAGCCTTGGTGAGCATTAGAGACTTTATTAAAAAATATATAAAAATCTTACTGACCACAAACTTTTGAATGGTAACCTCAAAATCTTTCATAATCCCACAGACTTTCTTGTAAATACTACTACTGTGGATTGTGATGTTATGGATAAGCAGGGTGGTTGTTCATGTCACCTACTGACCTTATAGGAGCGTAGACGGTGAGGAGAGTTTGACGGTGGCACCGCCACGGTGGGCCTGTCCTCCAGGGGTTTGACTGTAAAGCGTTCTGCAGGAGTGTGGGCTCTGCGTGGAGACAGCAGTCTGGGCCCAGGAGGCCCGGGTGGAGGGATGTCTGCCAGGGTTGGAGGCACAGAAATAGAGCGAGCAATGTCTGAGTTGACTCTGGTGGAGGATACGGCTGTGGAGTAGTCTGGAGCCGGAGTGTACACGGGGGCGGTGGGGCTGCCGTGGCGATATTGCTGTCGCTGTTGCCATTCAAAGAGCTGCCACACAGTGTTGTCATGCGTCGCGGGTCGCTGGGTGTGGCTGTGGGTCATCTGGAAGTGATTAAACCGGTCATGGGAATATTTGTATTCACTGGGCAACTGATGGGGAGCAGTTGTTGGGCTTTGTCGTGCAGTCTTTGGTAAAGACTGGTACTTGTCTATTGTGCCATACTTCGGATGAATGGGAGGGGTCCGACGTGGGATTGTGCCATCAGTAGAATCCAACCTGTGATAACCAAATTATTTATGATTTTTTTTAACATATATAATTGTATTATTTGGTCAAAATATGTGGATATTCAGGGTCACTAAAGTCTATTCCAAAATTCAAATTAAAAGAATAAAAATTTAAACATAAATGAAAGGTCACATATTTTACACCTTTCTGGAGTTTTATTTTAAGTCTTGATGTCCTTAAGAATATATATTCACGGTATAAATACCAAAAACCATCTCAATATATTTTTACAGCTCCTCTCTCAGGAGCTCTGCAAAGAACAGGTCGATTTTGGCCTGTTCAATTAATATTCATGAGCCTCTCTTCTGATTGGCCTGTTGTTTTCTGAGTGATGCATGGCCAGGCCAACCACAGGTAACTAGGGTCATGTATGCTGTAGCCTGCTGTGGCTTGGTGATACTCACAAGTAAGGTCAATAGAAACACCATTAATGGTGGTCACTGCTGAGGGAAATGTTGTCCGGCCTTACATGTTTGAGCCGAACTCAGACCCCGAATCGGCAACGACAGGACACAACCAACCACCTCCTCAAATGCGCTTACAACAGGATGTTTCAGAATGGTAATTCATGTTTTTTTTTCCAAACACTGAATGCTGTAAATACAAACCTGACCAGCCGAGCGTTTGCGATCACGTGAACTTGAAGACACTTGTACAAATGCGGATGGGTGACATGAATGGAAATGATTCCAGATTGGCGATGTAGTATTTGGTTTCTGTATTCTGTACTGTATTTTCCTGCGCTCAAACCTGCCAATCTAAAGGCTCAAACGCCGTCTATGGCGTTTGAGGTAATTTGTGAATTAGCATAGACTTATAGTCTTAATAAAATAATTAGCAGCTGTTACTATTATTACACTTGTAATACAAAACTTTGTATTATGCTTGTTATAAAGTGTGTGACATCACATGCACTACCGCTGGTGACGCGGTTGTCACGGCGACCATCACAGCCCTACTGTGCAATGATGTAGTTTCCTGACATCCAGACTGAACAGCGTTTTCTCGACATGTTTCCGTGTTGACTTGAAGACACTTGTACAAATGCGGATGGGTGACATGAATGGAAATGATTCCAGATTGGCGATGTAGTATTTGGTTTCTGTATTCTGTACTGTATTTTCCTGCGCTCAAACCTGCCAATCTAAAGGCTCAAACGCTGTGTATGGCGTTTGAGGTCATTTGTGAATTAGCATAGACTTATAGTCTTAATAAAATAATTAGCAGCTGTTACTATTATTACACTTGTAATACAAAACTTTGTATTATGCTTGTTATAAAGTGTGTGACATCACATGCACTACCGCCGGTGGCGCGGTTGTCACGGCGACCATCACAGCCCTACTGTGCAATGATGTAGTTTCCTGACATCCAGACTGAACAGCGTTTTCTCGACATGTTTCCGTGTTGTTGTTGCTCAGCAATGGCATGGACGCGATGTTGTCTGGGGGTTTGGCAAAAGGAGAGTGGGACTGTGGGCAGTGCTCGGGGTGGTGACTGAAGGTGGTGACTGAGTAGTTCTGACGTCACCTTTTTACGGAAGTCACAACGGTTCGTGAAAAATCACAGCTACTTTATGCAGGCTGTGTGCATTTGACTGTGGATTGACTGTTTTGAAACTTATAAGGTAGTTACATAGCACCTAGACCTCAGTTATCATGAAAAAAACAGGTAATTTCAGTTTTGACAATATGAGACCTTTAAATGTATGTTATATACATATATCAGAATGAGCTTTAACTGTGGATTGACTGTTTTGAAACTTATAAGGTAGTTACATAGCACCTAGACCTCAGTTACCATGAAAAAAACAGGTAATTTCAGTTTTGACAATATGAGACCTTTAAATGTATGTTATATACATATATCAGAATGAGCTTTATATATATATATATACACACACACAACCATTCAAAAGTTTGGGGTCAGTAAGATTTTTTTATGCTCACCAAGGCTACAATTAGTGGTTAAAAATACAGTAAAAACTGTAAAACTGTGAAATATTACTACAATTTAAAAGAACTGTCTTTTTATTTTAATATATTAAAATAGAAATGTAAATGAATAAAGAAATGTAAATAAAAATTTAATTTATTCCTGTGGTGGCAAAGCTGAATTTTCAACCGCCATTACTCCAGTCTTCAGTGTTACATGATCCTTTAGAAATCATTTTAATATGCTGATTTGGTGCTCCAGAAACATTTCTTCTTCTTATTATTATATTTTTATTTTTTATATTTATTATATTATTATTATTATTATATTTTTTCAGAATTCTTTAATAAATAGAAAGTTGAAAATAACATTTATTTTATGAAACTTTTGTAACATTATAAATGTCTTTACTGTCAATTTTAATCTATTTAATGCATCCTAGCTGGGGAAAAAAAAAATGTCATCATTCACATAAAAAAAAAAAATCTTACTGAACCATAACTTTGAAATCGCAGTGTATTTATTTGATTGAACAGCCCTAGTCTTACTGAGGGTTTGCTGTATTTTATTCTAAAGAACATAAAATGTCTTTTCATCAAATATTTTTTCCAACCTTTCCAATTTTCACAACTCAAACACATCCAGATGCTTAAAACAGAAAAGTGCAAGACTTGTCTTGTTAAAATTCACACAAACGTAAAATGAATTGTGAATGGCATTTCATGTCTACTTGACAAACTAAATATTAGGGTGCTGTTTACTGTGATTATGATTTAGTAAGCTTTCAACCACTTGGGGGCGATACATCCCATGACTCTTCACAATAACATCTAACTCTTCTAACTACTCTCTGTACAGTGTGTCTGTGACTGAATTCGGAGAAGCATACCACCATACTACTCCAACTACTTATGCCCTATCATTACATGGCAGAAATAGTAAGAAAAGTATACTAATCTGAATTTAGCCGTAGTAAAAATATGCAACAGATGTGTACGCTCACCCCTGGCTTTCTTCCTTCTGTACTTTGACCCAGTTCTCCACCTGCTCCAGTGCACTCCTCCTCTGTACCTGAACAGGAGTTTGAGAAGAAGGTGTAGGCCCCCTCTGATACCCAGGCATGCCATTCTGCTCTATGGGTGTACCGTTCCTCAGCACTGGCGGGGTCGAGACGGCCCTGGAAGGAGCTCGAGAGGGAACTTGGGATGCTGGTGCTGACCCTGGAGCTAAAACCTCCACTATCCTGCTCGCTGGAGATTTACCCCTCACCTGCTCCATCTCTCTTGGAGCAACCTGAATCTCCACTTCTCCAACAAATCCTTCCTGCTTCTCCTCCTGCAGCCTGTCACTTTGGATGACTTCGGGTTCTGGAATCACGAAGCTGTTGATGTGGTTGGTCTGCGGAACAGCCTGCTGCTTGAGTTTCTCGGAAATGTTCACTTGGTCTGGATGATCCGACTCGTCTCTGTGTGGCAAAAACATGACGTGCAAAGGTCAGTGAGGTTTTATGAGTCTATTATATGATGCTTTTATCATGCTGCTGGATCACATGTCAGGTCTGTAAGATTAACACCATTCCACAGCATGGAGTCTGGACCATACAGTAACCCAGCCTTCACACGTGAGGGAATCTGCTCATGAAACTAAATATATCAATAACTGTAAACTGTCTTATTTAGTTTAACAACTCTAGTCTCGTTAAGCTCCAGGATTCACGTTTTACACAACACTTCACAATACTCCAGCATAGCAACCCACCAAAAACAACTCCTTAGCAGCTACACACAGTAGTAACACCCTGGCAACCACCCACAACACGCTAGCAACTGCACATTAACCCATTAAAAATACTCACAACACTTTAGCACCTGCATAGTAATGCCCTGGCAACCATCCACAACACCCAGCAACCCACTAAAAACACTCAGAACACTTTAGCAGCTGCATAACAACACCCTGGGTGGTTACCCACAATAGCAAGTGCATAGCAACCCACCAAAAACACTAAGAATTCCTTAGCTGGTGCTGGCAACCACCTGCAACTGCAGAGCAAACCCTCTAAACAATTTAGAACACTTTAGTAGCTGCATACTAGTAATGCCTTGGCAACTACCCACAACACCCCAACAACTGCATAGCCACCTGCCAAAAACACCCCTGGCATAATAACGTCCTGGCAACCACCCACCTTACCAACTGAATAGGAACCCGACCAAAACACTCAGAACACTTTAGCAGCCACATACTAACTCGCTAGCAACCACCCACCCACCCTAGAAACTACATAGCAACCTGATTAAAAACACACAATATACCTTTGTAGCTGAAAAAAAAAAACAATGATTAACCAACTCTACAGCCTTGACAACTGCCCATAACTTCATATCAACCCACTATAAACATGCACAACACCTTAGTAGCTGCATAGTAATGCCCTGGCAACCACCCACAACACCCTAGCAACTGCATTGCAACTAACTAAAAACACCATTCTGTTGCATAGAAATGTCCTGGCACCTCTCAGAAAACCTTAGCAACCACATAGCAACTCCCAACTACATAGTAACCAAGAGCCTACAAGAATCTAGCATTGTAGAAGCGAGTTTTGCACAAGCGCCACACATTTTCTTAAGAAAATGTCAAATCTAGTTAATATAAAAGTCATGTGATTGCTCTGCAGAGGTAAATGTAGTGCTTAAGTATCAGTTAGAAGCAAAGCCTTACCGCTACAATGAGCACTAAATAGTCTGTTGAACTTTGCAAATACACTTTGCTTGGTTTCTTCAAACAAGAACTGTGGAATGAAAAATGATTCAGTACCACCACGTAAAATTAATTCCAGCTTCAAATCGTCCGTATATAGCAGTCTAAATGTGACATGATTAAATAGGCCCTGAGTGAATCTACATTTGGAGAAGACATGGCCACTGGGAGCTTGGCTATCTCTACTGGAGCTCACTCTACAGTCAGACTAATAATATCCAAGCTGCACAGACTAAAAAGAAATAGCCTCCAGTGGCTCTTTGCATTCAGACACACTCAAAGTCTACAACAGCCAAATCTCCATCTGCATTTTAACATGAAAAGATGTTCATTTAGGCCTGATGATATCTACGGTATAGAGATGTAATTGTTTGGGTACTGATTGAGAAGAGATGCATTTATTCTAAAATTTTGATAAGATTCCTTCCCTTGTGAAAAAAAAGTATACTTTAGCATACTTAATAAAAAAAGCACTTCATGGAAATAATAAAAGAACATACTTTTTCAGACACTTAATTGCATGTTAATTGCAATTAAATGAAAATGTATTATAGTTTAAATTTATATGAAATGCTGAACTTTAGAGTGCTTTTTAGCCCACTAAAGTAGTACTTAATTATATGTAATTGGATAATTACTTCTATTGTCTTTGAAATATGGTGAAAGTGTACTGCCCAATATACCAACAAGCATTAATTATATTTTACAGACTAAAATATAACGTAATTTCTATTAACGTGCATGTCATGGATTTAAATATATTTGTATTTACACATTTGTAATAATGAAGCTGCAATTTAGTACATTTAAAATGTAGTAAATAAATAAAATATTAAAATTGAAATGCAACATCAAGTAACACTACAGTTAAAATTATAATAAAGTACTTTATGTGCTTCAATATGTTAGTTAACATCAAAATAAATCTACTTTTACTGTATAATGCATGACAAAGAATGATTAAAGGCACAATATGTAATTTTTGCCGCTGGAGGGCGCATATTCAAAATAAACAAAGAGACAAAGGCGTAGTTTGATGACGCTGTGACTGAGTGTGGAATCATGGGAGTTGTTGTCTTCAGCCCCACAGCCGAAACAATCCGACGGAACTCGGGCAGAAATCATGTTCATGGATGAGCTAATGATTTATTAACGTAGTAGAATGAAACAGGGTGAGGGTAAAACGTCGAAGCGAAACGAGGCTGCTGAACGAGCGTGGCACACGGCTCGAAAGCAGCGGAGCTTTATTATGCCACAGTCGACCGCTTCTGCTCCTTCCGGTCATGAGTATGTGGGAAAATAAAGCAGCGCTGTTTTATCATATTAGATACATTTGAAAGTTCTGTTATAATGCTACTCATGCAGTCGTCACCGGTCTATTAAAACGCACAACATATTAAAGCGTCTTTGGTGTTTCCATGTTTTCTACAAAACAAAACCGGAAATCGAGGGTTATGACATCATTGGCAGGCGACACAATGACACTATAGACATGGTCCGTGTCACTAGTTAAAGGGATAGTTCACCCAAAAATGAAAATTTTATGTTTATCTGCTTACCCCCAGGGCATCCAAAATGTAGGTGACTTTGTTTCTTCAGTAGAACACAAACAAAGATTTTTAACTCAAACCGTTGCAGTCTGTCAGTCTTATAATGGAAGTGAACGGGAATCACGGCTTTGAGAGTAAAAAAAAACACACTATCTACATTCTCAATTAGGAGTGTCAATGGTCCATTTGAGAGATAGGTGGCAGTAACGCACTTATAAGTCTGTGATCCGCTGTAAAGCAAGAAGAAGAAGAAGAAGAAGACGCGTCACGCGCCGGCTGACGAGGACACGCTCAGGATGCGCTCAGGATAGTTCAGACATTGCAGTGCATCAGAGGTAAAAACAATATAAATACTGTTCAGTTTCTTGCACAGACCGATCGTTTCGTGTCTTTACACATCAATGTATCGTCACGAGCCGCAGGGTTTAATTTGGTTCTGTTTGTGTATGGTTTTTTTTACTCTCAAAGCCGTGATTCCCATTCACTTCCATTATAAGACTGACAGACTGCAACGGTTTGAGTTAAAAAAACTTTGTTTGTGTTCTACTGAAGAAACAAAGTCACCTACATCTTGGATGCCCTGGGGGTAAGCAGATAAACATAAAATTTTCATTTTTGGGTGAACTATCACTTTAAAATTGCTTATTTCTCTGGATTTAAACCTTCTTTGAAACATTTGGGATAATGTAAGTACACAAATCAGCAAAGTATATAACACTGTTCTAGTGGTTTTTGGATATTTTAATAAAAAAATCTTACATATTGTGCCTTTAAAACAATGATTTAAAAATGTACTTAAAAGGAAAACATTTAATTTAACATTTGACAAAGTACAATACTTTTACAAAGTGTGTGAAAGTGTACTCTGTAAGTACAGTTAAGTGGCCTTTAATTAATATTATATTATCTAGATGTACAATATTTTTATATACTTGTAAGGTTTGAAGTACTGTACAAGTACCCATTTACTTGTACATTTTAGCGCACTACTTCTCAAAGGTGTTCAAACTGGTCAACTATGATTTACCCAAATAAAGGGAACTAAGAGGTTTGTGCAACTGAACAAAGTGCATGTGCACTTTGTGGGTGTATTGCAGATAATTTACTCTGAGTATTCGCACAAATAGCCACATGTGCAAATAGGCTGGACCAAAACAAAGCCTACAGAGATTCTCAGAAAATATGAATTCCACATTCCTACAGTAGGACATGAAACGGCAAGGCGTATGCATGACTGATTCCTTTCAAATCACCAAACAAATGGTATTCGCAAAACAACTCTGGCAAAGGAGAAAGGGAAAACACAAACATAAGGGCATCTGTGTGAATGAAAAGCCACTCAGAATGGCGTTTTTATCTTGGACTATCACAGTCTAATTTTCTGCCTCGCTGACTGCCAGCTCAAGCTGACACTAGTCTCATTAGTGTCGGGCTGCTATGACAACTCAAAGATCTTATCCTTGATCCCAATTTGGTGCCTTGGTTAACGACATCACCAGTAGTGACAGCTAACTATTCAATCTTTTATGGCTGAAATTGGGCGACATGCATTACACATGTCAAAAGAGTGCACTGATGGTCTTGAGAGATGGCTAAACCATATACAGTACATGTTTATGCAGCCTATGTTCACACAGTCAGTGTTTGGGATTGACCGTATTTAAAAACAGTGCGACTCCAGATTATTCCTATTCATGTTTATAGTATCTGAACTAGGGATAAGTATTTTGTCATTTTGACTATTCGAGTACTCAGTCAGTCCACATCTGAGCTGAGTTTGGGCTCTGTGACTGTCTCAAGGAAGTGAGGCCAGCCCAGAGAACAGAGAGATAGAAAGCTGAGTCACTGCTCAGTACCCGTCTGGTCTTCTGCACTGGCAGAGCAAGACACACTGTGGCCTTGCTGTCAATCAACAAGACTGACGCCCGACAAACACTCACAGACTCACAACGTCCCTTGACACAGACTGCATTTGACAGTACACTTTAAACACATACACTATTTAACAAACACTTGAGAAAACAGCTGCAAATGAACATTTAATCACACAAAATTCACATTTTTAGATTGAAATATAGAAAAATTAAGAAAAATGTATAACTAAATCAGCACATTTTGATTTCACGTTTTATTTTTTTTATTTCAATTGCATATCAAATTTCCTTCTATTTGTTTTATACAGATTTAAACAAATTTAAATTAATAAACTAATAAAATGGGATGCAGAAAACTTTGTTTGAAATATCTCATCATTCTCCATCAAGTGGTCACTATTTACATCTCATACTGTATGTAAACACTTGCGTAAGTGTTACGAGCTCGGTTATCAGCCCTACAGTGGAAACTGAAACCATATCTGTAAAAGCTTGGCTGGATAGGCACAGAATCAAATGGTTAAGCAATGAGTACAGTTTGGCCTGACAGTGGAAAACTTTGTCAGTCATACATATATGAAACAAGTACGAGGTCTGCACTCAAAAACATTATGGCATGGCAATAGTTTAATCCTATTTTCTTTTTTTGCTTCTTTTTTTGCTTAGAATCAACATAAATCTGTTCATTGTGAAAACAGCTACATTTATTCAGTTCAAAAGTATGAACATGGTTAAAATATGGCTAGATGTGGAACGGGCAATCTTCAGTTAGTTCAAATGTATGCGATTGAAACAAACTGGGTTTATTGATTATAAATATATAAACCTGATTAAATTTATTAGTACTTTTGGAGAAATGTTACCCATTTCAGTTATGTATGCCTGACAATTAAGCATCACTTATAGTTTATTAGATTATGCCAAAACTGTGTAATTCACATGGATGGAAATTTTACATGCAATTCGCATACATACAGTAAATCTTAAATTTAGCTCTAAATGTTATGAGATTAATGTTTAAAACAAGACAAAAAAGAATTTGTTGATACAAAACAAATGTCAAAGATGTATTCTGTGAAACAACCTTAAGTAAATTCGTTAGATGTTTTTCCTGGCCATAAAAAACACAATACTGGTTAAGAAAATGTTTTTGAAACGTTTCGTGACTCACTGACCTCTTCACTGTATGGGTTTGCATCAGTGCAGCCTGGTTCATGGCCCTGACCCAGCCATTCATGTCCTCCTGTGTGTCCGCACTGAAATAGTACGTCCTCATCCCAGTGTGCTCCGCCTGCGAGCCAATCACAGAGCTTTGTTTGTAAATGTAGGAGCGCATCCCTGTGTGTGTAGCCTGCAAGAGAGAAAGCACATCAGTCCAGCCCTGGGAAAAGGAGAAACACTGCATCAGCAGATAAGTATTGGCCAGAGGAGCATCTGAGATTTCAGCATGATAATTAGAAGCGTGGAGGAATACAACACAGCGGGCATACTGATGAGACACAGGAAGTCAGAATGAATAAAGGAGCAAATGCCGATCAAGCCAAGGCCAAACTGTGATAAGAAACACATATACGCACCGATTTAAATAACTTTTCAGTTATGTAATCAAAGATACAGGAACAACGATATGAATCAGCATGAAGGACAGACGAATAGACCAAAGGTCAGATTTGTTACAATAAGCACACCACCCAATAAAAGTAAAGCAAAGACAGTACACGTTTTGCAAATACTAAAATAAGTGATAAAGTCATATGGTATTAGAAGAGACAAGTTTATTTATATAAAGACTACTAATGTTATGTTTATGTTATCACAGTTTCTGTGTTGCACAAATTATATGCTACTAATTAATATAATACAATATAATATAATATCATATCATATACAAGGTAAAAATATAATCAAATATAGTAAAACATAATAAATTTAATATATTTTACCCGTGTTTCTTTTAAAGTATATATATAAATAAATAAATAAATTAATTAATTAATTAAAAGTAAAGTAATTAAAAAGTAAAGCAAAAAAGTATGGGTTTGAACATACTATAATAAGTCATAAAATATTTTCAAAGACAAGTTTATTTATATAAAGACAACAACTATGAATAAGTTATAATTTAAATGTTATGATTTCGGTAGCATCACATCAGTGTTGCACAAATGGCAAGTTATTGAATATGAATTTATAAAATATAATATAATATAATATATTTTTTCCTTTTTACTTACGTATATCTAAAATAAAACACACAGGCAAACTGCCATTCAACAAAACAGCACAGACACTGTTTTAATTAACATGAACTCAGCCTGCAATTTCCTCATTAAAAATAGATTCAGAGAGAGTATCTTGCGCTGCATTCGATTACGTAAAACAAAACAAACAGACAATTATGGTTCATTAGAGACATCCAGTCTCATTTCTTCACCAAATCATTTCTTTTCTCTCTTAAGTGTGAGCAAGAAAGCACAACACAAAATACACAGTCGTATGAAGACACGCGTAGTTTACATGACTAGCTCATTAAAGGCAAGCAGTGAGGTGCTAAGCTGCTGTCTGTGTTTTAATGGTCCACTGAGGGAAAGCTCTGCAATGAGGCTGTAAAACGCAGAGAGATGGCTGATCGGTTTTGAATCATACAGGGGGCCTGGACCACTTCAGATGACTAGATGATAAATACCCAGCTAAAGCATCCACTGAAGTAACCCCTATCTAATTTCTTCAGACAAATGAGACTCATGTTTTTAAATAAAATAGTGTCTTTATTTTATTCATATGCATGCCATTTCAAACCAGTGACTGTCGTTCTTACACAGAACACACAAAGCGGCATTCTGATGAATGTGCATGCTGCTGTTTTCCTTACAAGTGTATACAGTGACCAAGGGCTGTACCATAAGGAACAAAAATGCACAATAAAACTAATCCATGCCACTAGTCCATTCCAAGCCTTCTTAAGCATTATGTGACAAAAAGACAGAAATGTAAGTTGAAAAAATCCCGTCATAGCATCTGGTGTCATTCACATGGCCTAAGGCAGTTTTCAGTGGATAATGACTTCAGTTTTTTGCCCAATAACCTCAGAAGACTTGGAATACAGTGCACATGTCATATGGACTACTTTTATAATTACATCTAGCTGTACAGACTCTAGTCACTGTGTGATTTCCCTGCATGAGAAAAAGCTGTGTGAATAATTATTGAAAACACTTCTATTTGTGTTCCATGAAAGACAAAAAGTCATACACTTTGGAATGACATGAGGGAGAGTATGATGACAAAATAAAAATTTTGGGGTGAACTATTACTTTAACTTCAACAGAATGTCTGAGAACAGATCAAATCAATTATATAATGTTAAGTTAAGAAAGATAAATCAGAATTGGCCATCTTTTTTTTTATGTATGCACACAGAAAATGTTCCATCTGCACTTCAAAAGTTTAGGGTCAGAAAGTTTTTTTAATCATTGTTATTCAGCAAAAACACATTAAATTGATCAAAAATGTCAGTAAAGATTTTTACATTGTTGAAAAACTAAGCTAAACTTAGCTAACCAAAAGTTTAATTCTATGTGATATTAAATCATAATTCAGATCAGATTAAATCATAACTTATTAGTATGATCCAACAGGCAAAATGACTGTATGTGCACATAAAAACACAGCTGTGTACACACAGGAGACAAAACAAAGAGCTAACAATAGCATGCAGCTTCCTTTCTTTTTGGCACCCTGCAGCATGTAGGACTATTTGAAGATGCTTTTAGATTAACCAGGCCTTTCATTAAAAGCATGCTCTCTTATGTCATCCACGATCCATTATAAGAACGCAGTGCACTGGTAAAGAGAGCTTTTATTTAACAGCTCTATTGGCTTACAACTGAACTGATTCCACTGCACAATATACATGTCTTGATGATACAGTAGTCAAAATTTAGTATTCTCTAGAAAGGTATATGTTAAATATGTCTGTTAGGGGTGTGAATTGATTCGATTCAGGATTCATAGATTTTTGATACGATTCAATAACGATTTATGCAAATTTAGAACTATTCTGTTCAGTCCGGTTCACAATGAGAATTTATTTGAATTCAATTAATGGTTAGATTCTGTATTTGCATTCATAGGATTATGTAAATGCTTCTCCTGATGTGTTTTAGGTATGAAAACCAAATGGTTCTAAGAACAGTAAGGAACGGTTACATTCACATTTCCACTTGGTTTGACTCAATTACACACCATTCTCGACCTGGAACTGAACTGTGCTTGTAGAATGCGTGTAGTGATCACTCAGGATTGGTCATTTGTTTGAAATATCTCATCATTCTCCATCAAGTGGTCACTATTTACATCTCATACTGTATGTAAACACTTGCGTAAGTGTTACGAGCTCGGTTATCAGCCCTACAGTGGAAACTGAAACCATATCTGTAAAAGCTTGGCTGGATAGGCACAGAATCAAATGGTTAAGCAATGAGTACAGTTTGGCCTGACAGTGGAAAGGCGGCTAAACTAAAACTGTTTATTGCAAGCAACTTGAAAGCAAACACAAACTTGAAAGTTTAGTGTGTCAATATTCCATATTCCATTTATTTTCATGACTTTTCTTGGTCTGAAAATAACCGTGGCAGACCCAACTCAGTAAACTAATCCAAACATTAAAATATTACCTGATACATTCAGTTTTCTCAAGGTCTCATATGCAAATAAATAAAAACAAATTCAGCTATATCCTAATACTGCTCAAATGTCCGCTGGTTATTGTTTTCTGAATAGAATAATTTCACACATCACATCTCAAAAAGTAATGTCACAAGAAAGGTCACAAACATTCCCAAAGAGTTTGCACATGCCAGAGGTTAAGGCAGAGAAATTGTAGAGTTAAAATTTTACCTATTTATGGAATATGCTGAATGTGTCTCAGAGCCTTTCTGGACTGTCAGTAACTCATCACAGGCAGGAAGCCCACCAATGGGAACAGAAGAAGGACATAGTTCAGCAAATAAAGGACAATGACTGGTCACCTGAACCAACACCTACAAGCTTTTCCTGTTTAGGATATGTACACGTACTGGGAAATTGTCAGTATCATTTAAAGGGATAGTTCACCCAAAAATTTGATGTTTATCTGCTTACCCCCAGGGCATCCAAGATGTAGGTGACTTTGTTTCTTCAGTAGAACACATATGATGATTTTTAACACAAACCGTTGCAGTCTATCAGTCGTATAATGCATGGCAATGGTAACAAAATCTATGAGAGTAAAAAAAACATGCACAGACAAATCCAAATTAAACCCTGCGGCTTGTGACGACACATTGATGTCCTAAGACACGAAAAGATCGGTTTGTGCCAGAAACCGAACAGTATTTACATAATTTTTTACTTCTAATACACCACTATGTCCAACTGTCTTTGAGCGCGTGCAGGCATCCGGTGCGTGAAAGTGATCTCTCGCGCGTATACGTCACTCATTGTTTACACAGTGCACAGTCATTGTAGGTACGACGGCTAATCAAAATGGTACTTACTTGCGCTTATCCGGATTGTTCAAACCGACTTAAAACTAAAAGATTACATTCTCTCGCGCGAACTCATTCGGGAGTGGTGACTTTCCACGTATTCCCAACTTCTGAGCCTGCTCGCCTGAAGTTATGGTTGATTGCTCTTCGGCTGGATATCAACACACCCATTAACGTAAACTACGCCAGAGCGCGTACACACCTCACGCACCGGATGCCGTGCGCACGCCCAAAGACAGTTGGACATAGTGGTGTATTAGAGGTAAAAAATTATGTAAATACTGTTCGGTTCTGGCACAAACCGATCGTTTCGTGTCTTAGGACATCAATGTATCGTTACGAGCCGCAGGGTTTAATTTGGATTTGTCTGTGCATGTTTTTTTTACTCTCATAGATGTTACCATTGCCATACATTATACGACTGATAGATTGCAACGGTTTGTGTTAAAAATCATCAAATGTGTTCTACTGAAGAAACAAAGTCACCTACATCTTGGATGCCCTGGGGGTAAGCAGATAAACATCAAATTTTCATTTTTGGGTGAACTATCCCTTTAAGGACTGTCAGCACCGTCAAGATAAGCGGGTGACAGAAACAAACAGCAGCAAAAAAGAGCACAAAACACCACGCCAGACCACAAAACAGCCCGCAACACAAAGCACAAATGCCCACAGTTAGAAGCCATAACAGAAATAAAGCCGAAGTTTGATGAGCTCAGTAGTCTGGGTCTTTCCCACATTTGCACCGATATCTAGAAGTTAATCGCAGAATCAGTGAAACGCTCTCTGGCACTCGGCCGTGTCTATCTACCAGCATGTGGGGTGAGTTTGCTGGCTGAGCAGAATTCACCGCGGTAAACCTTCTTTTTCATAGAGGATTAGTACAGATTACAGACTCTTTGCTGCCTATCTGAGTCACTCAATACCAAAAATCTACATCCAGATACCAAGGTAAACATTCTCTCTTGTGTGAAGCTTATGGCAAATGAACCATAACCCTCTAAAGAGAGTGATACAACTACTAGCTCCTCGCCAACAGTTGTGGAGAACGATGTGACACCGTAGGCTGTGTAAAACTATCCGTTAAGGGAGGAAAGTGAAAGAGGAGTGCTGCAAAGTGCAAACTGAGATCAACGTGTACTTTAAACCATTAAGCTTTAAGATCTTCTTCTGGAATGTTGTCTCTTTCCGCTCCCGTGTTGAAAAATCTCTCTCCAGCTTTGAGAACAGGGGCAGGAAGGAGATGAGCAGAGAGAGGTAGACTGGTTATGTAACCTTGTTGCCCTCAGGATGAGAACAGACCCATACATTCACTCTGTGTCATGAACCTCATGAGGACAAAAATGAACCACACAAGCTGCAGGGGATGAAACCGCATAAACTAGTCTTCGCCTACAGAAACGCTCGCACATAGATAAGCACCAAAAAAGAAGAGCTGTATATGTATAAAAACAGCTTGCGTAATTGGTTATATACAAATAGACAGCCTTAAATGTATTCTAAATGGTATGAAAATATTGATAGTGCACTGAATGGTTCATTTCTGTCTGCGTTCTATACACAGGGCTGCAGCCATGCAAGATAATGAAGCATGCATATTCATAACTGTAGGGAGTGACTCAAAGTGACTTTAAAATCAGCATTTGCACATGACAAAACAGTAAGACACAGCTGACTAGGGAAGAGGAAGCAGCTAGTGCAAGGAAAATGAGATGAATAAGCATTTACAGTATTTACAGTCAGCGGATCATTAGCACAATATAAATTGTGACAGGGAGTTTAGGACCTGTTTTACCCTACTTTGGTTAATTGGTTGCTTGGGACAATTATAGAGTCACCCATGAAAATGAAAATCCTCTCATCATTTACATCTTCATTAAAAAACGTTTTGGAGAGAACTATTGGTTCTGTGTCAAAAACACAAAAATGTAAGTGGATAACAAAGTCGAATGGTTCGTTTTGTATTTAAAAGAATGACCACTAAAGTACATTCATAAAAAATTATTTTGTGTTCCACAGTAAATTACAAAAAAGGTTCATTTTTGGGTGAACTGTCCCTTTAAGGCATACCTTCTATGTAAACATTGTTGCATAGCATACAGTTAAGGGTTGCAAATTTAATGTGGTGAATAGCTTTTATAATTCTTTTAAAAGTGTTGCTATCTGTGTCAAAATAATCTTACCTTGAAGGCATATTTTCGGCTAATGTGATCTTCAGGTCCCACAGGAGCAATAGTGTAGCTGGGCAGAGGAATGCTCCCCAGCACAGACTCTTCACGACTGTCTGTGGGGAAAAAACAACCTAATTGAGCAACCAGTCTGGTTTTGACGTGGTGTCTATCTCACTCTCTCTTCCAGGGTTTCTGCAGACTTGAACAAGTTAAATTTAAGACTTTTAAAGACCTTTTTAATACCACCTTATATGAAATTTAAGACCTAAACCTGTAATGGAAATACACATTTTATTACATACATATATGTCATATTTAATGTGTATAAATTAAAAAGAAAACAAAATATCAATGCTGTAATAAATGGTATTTATTACTACGATATACAGTGAACTTTTCATGTCAGCAGACAATATTCCATACAAAATATCCCTGCAAAATAACTGCATCACTAAGATTTTTGGTGGAATAAACAATTTATTCTGAAGCAATATTTTCATTAGTGTTCTATCAGCTTTTACATACTTAAATCTGCATTTTTACCTTTACAAAGGCCTATTTTTAACCTTTTTAGATGTATGCATCATCTTACATGTCAAATTATTAAAATGTATCAATAAATTCAATATACACTATAGGGCTGCTACCAGTCAGATTAAAT